ACAACTCCATGGGAACGATTGGAAAACAATCTCATTTGCGTCACGTTTTTTAAATCCTCACGAGTCTAAATACTCTACTAACGAACTCGAACTTTTAGGGGTTGTTTGGGCTGTTGAGCATTATAAAAATTACCTTTACGGCTCTGATTTCGAAATAATCACCAATCACAAGGCCCTATTATCCGCTCTTTCACCAAACCACGGAAATAAAACCTACCACAGTAGATTAACAAGATGGGTAGACAGATTATTACCTTTTAATTTCTCAATCAAACATATCGCAGGAAAAGACATGGGCTTCACTGATCTTATTTCTAGAATCCCATCCGGAAAAGCCCTTCCAACTTCACATTACGACGAAGAATTCGTAGTAGCAAAAATTAATAAGATTAATAAATCATTAAATCCGTCGGAGAAACTAAGAAATACCTGTTCAGCCATTGGTCACAATTTGGAAAATTCCGATTACGTCTTATTACGTAATTACCTAATAGCAGCAGTACTAAAACTTATTAACTCGTCTTTTCCAATTTGCTCATTCAATCACAGAAGAACAGAATTTTGTACATCAAATTGTATTCCAACGGATTATTCCAACACAAATACTTTAATTATTTCCATTTCAAATTCCGCATTTCTTTATTTTTTAATTCTTAATTGTAGCCTAATTAATTCACCTGTAGATAAAAAAAATTGTAGATACTGTTAATATGAATCATAAGAATATTGTAATTAATCCCACCACTTCCGGTATTTCCGTAGATTTAGAATTCAAACTTTAACCAAATCATATCAATCTCGTTAAAAAATACCGTGAAAACTTGAAGTTGCCGGATCGACCCTTGGATTTAAATTTTTTATTTAACGCCAAGTTAGTGGCTCTCTTGACAGAAGACGATCCCATGTTAAGCCCTATTGTTAAAGCACTTCAAAATAAGGTGGAGAAGATTAATGCAGATTCTCCTTATTTCAAACATTTCACCCGAGACCTTCACGAATCCGATGGATTACTTTACATGGACGGCAAACTCGTTATTCCATTTACCCTACGAAACGCGATGATGAAGACTCTCCACGAAACACATCCAGGTCAATTCGGAATGAAATATTTGGCCCAATACATTTGGTGGCCGCACATTAACAGACAAATCTACTTTCATGGAATTAATTGCTCAGAGTGTACATCGGCGGGTAAGAATATAAAATCTGTTATCCCTAATTCACAAATTAGTGAACTTCTTCCATTATCAGAACCAAATGAAGAACTTGATTTAGACTTCGCGGGTCCTTTGGATTCTTATTGGGGGTCAAATAAATACATTTTACTTTGTATTGACAGATTTTCTAAATTTCCGTCGGCAAAAATTACATCATCTACCTCTTCAAAAACAGTTATAGAATTTTTACAAGACTACATATTCTTACACGGTATACCTTATTCTATAAGGGTGGATCATGCTACTTGCTTTACAAGTCAAGACTTCAAATCATTCTGCGATTCTAACAACATCAAAATAATCTTTTGTACAGTAGGCGATCACCGATCCAATGGATTAGTCGAAAAACTCGTACACACTGTAAAAGTCAAAGTACCGGCTATCTCCAAAGAACATCATAAAACCACGTTACAAAATGCCGTTTCAAAAATCATTTGGAACCTACGTTCTACTTTCCAATCAAAAATTAAATGCTCACCTTTCGAGATCCACTATAACAGAAAACCAAATACTATTTGGAAACAATTAGCTTCGGGTAAACCTTCCTTTGGAATTTTAGACAAAGGGAAATCAATACTGTCTAAGGATCGAGCTAAGGATTGGAACGCGGATGATAGAATCGAGGACGGATACAAGGACGATCTGATTGCGAAGAAGAACCAAAATCCGACTGAAAAAGGCTACGATACAGACTAAGCCTCATCCTCGAAAACGACTCAAAACAGAAGACCAATCGAAAGCCCTTTTAAAGGTAAAATCCTTCGGAAAACTAATGGTAATATCAACCGAGACTGTTTTTATAAAGAACTAAACAAAAGAATTATAAATTCTTCGACTTCGACAGTTAAGTTATCCGACGGAAAAATAATACGAAAATCCGATATTGCGATTCCTATCTCTACCTCAAATAAAATCAGACCTTTTAGAGGAAACATTTCATTCCCTTACTTTTCTGACCCTAATGTTGAAGTAGGTCAAAAACTGGAATGCTCAAAAAGAAAACCAAAACCCAAGAAGCCAACAAAAAGAAGGAACAGACAATTAGACCCGACATCATCTGACAACCTAACTAGGACACGCATTTCTGGACCATCATCCATCCCGACAAGAAGACAGACACGACGCTCAAAGAAGTCACCAACTCCTCCAAGTTACCTTGCTTCGGATGAATCTATGCTAATTCCTTCGGATATTTCGGATACTAGCGAATAAGAATGGATAGCGGGCGGTTTTCCTTGTAGAGACGTAGCCAGAGAGCGCTTTATTTCGGATTCACTTACACCTCACATACCACTCGGAAATAACTTTAACTCTTCTATAACCAATCCTGAAATAAAATCTGAGATTTTAGAAAACGACAGTTTCCCAATCAGTGAACAACCCATGGATCAATCATACGAGTGCCCAATAAGTATAGTGCCAGCCAGCCGAACATCTAACTCGGCGGATCAGAGAACCGTGAATCAGGGAGGGGAAAATGACACCATTGGACAAAACGACCCACAAGTGGAGCATAATCCGACGGAAACCGACTCAAACATAAACTTTCCGGTGTATGAGATAAGCGACTCAACGGATGAGTGCGCTATATCCAACAGTCCTGCCATAATACCCGGTAAAATTCCTGCTACTATTCGCCGCTCTAGTAGAAACGTCGGCCCACCAAAATTTTATGGTAAACGTTACTTCATTGATGCCGTAGAGAGTGTCCAAGAAGCCTCTGGTTCGGCGGCCGAGCCTATTGTGTTAGAGATTGAGGAACCACATGAGACTATCAACAGGACGAATCCGGCGGAGTTAATTGTTCTAGATTCAGATTCATCATCTTCATCAGATCAAATGTCAAACTCATCAACCGACGAATCACTGAGAATGGAAATAGCAAATTTCGGCGAACACTCTGATCTTGATAGTGAACTTTTCAACACCGAACTTGAAAACTTTTTAAAAGATTATAAAACTTTATAACCACTTAGATATACTTTAATCTGATATTCCGGCTTACCAAATAACACACATTACTGAGTAAACCGGTGCTAACATTCAGATATTAACATCTGCTCACTAAACTTGAGAACTTAATCCTGCGGATAAATTTTCATGTAGAAGACATTTTCAAGTGTCCTCCTAATTTCCTTAATTCGCCTACACTCCAGTTTGTGTTTTACAAACCAAGACCACCTCCATCAAAATTTTGTGCTATCTAGGTATTTTACCTTGTAAACCGGTGCTAATTTTCCAGTTACCAAAAAGTGTTTGCTAAATTTGACAACTTTATCCTTCGGATAAATTTTACCCGTCAAAAGAAATTATCATCTGTTGCTCCCATAGTTTCTTTAAATCATATCCTCTTCACTCGCGCATTATAAACTATGACCTCACTCATAAAACGTGGTTTTAAATTTCAGCGTTATGCCAAAACGTGATGCCTTACCTCATCTTAACATAACCCTTATCTATCGGAATCTGGATAATCTTTGTTCTTTCATTTAACACTAGTGGAGCTTACTTAGTGCTAGTACCTCATCTTAAGGCGCTTTAATTTTCTTTCCTAGTCCTTAAAGGGGGAGAAAGGAGTCAGTCATAGTTAGTTATTGTGCATTACTTATTGCAATTTAAATTTTTTCCTGCTTAGGGGAATGTTGTGATTTTACATCAGGTTTTGCAATTATTGCTAAACATACTTATTTAATTAACCGGTCACTTAGTTATGACCTTCACTATCCATTCTCTCCGGCAGAGAGAATGATCTCTCATTGTTTTAATGTTTTAACTTACCGACTAATTCATCTTATTTCTTATTCTTTTTAATAGTTTTAATTTAGAATTAGCTACAACAAAGTAACATTTTATCAAGGTTCAAATCAGAAAACTGTTGCTACTCATTTGATTTTTTTTCAGCATAAATATTTTGTTTGATTTAATATATCAGGTTGTAACTTTTTTTTTGAAATATTATTTTTCTTTCTTCAACCATTATTTTGAAGATGTAAAAAACTGTCGTAACATTCAAGGCTTTAACCTGATACTGGGAGGGAGTTTTTTTATTATAATTTTGCAATTTAAGGCAAATTGAAAGTGACAGACATCAAAGTGTTATAAATCAAATTGTAATGTAGAAGCCATACAACTTTATTGCTAATAAGGAGCAACCAGCTTTTGACATGGACAAAATATTTGATCGCTAAATCGTTATTTGATCTACAAAGGAAATTTAAAAACACAAATCAATCTTGATGAAAAAAGTCTCAATGATTTTCACTGCGACTAAATAACATCGTTCGAGAGGTACTTTGATATTTTACTTAAAAAATAGTTTTTTTTGCTAAAAAAATCTTGCAGAAAATGGTTTATTTTCGCTAAAGCAGCAAAAAAAGTTTTTTGCTAAGTTAAACTGTACAAAGTGATAATTAATTTAGACAAGCATTGGCGGGACTTAAAACTACGTTTCTGAATGCTTAATTTAGAAAACAAAATAAAAAAACAAAACATATCTAACTTTTCACCACTTTTTACATATTTCTCTTACAAAGTGCAGATCATTTTAGTAGATCGCTATTAGACAAGAAAGTCTGTCTCCACGCGTACAACAGTTCAGGCCTCTCAAACTCTTATAGGCATTGTATATAACCAACCACTTGACCATACTGCTGCCACCAAAGTCGTTCAATAGTTTAGTATTGGAGTTTGGTGGTTTTTAACTAATTTGTGAAATGTATGTCTCAACTTACATAACAATAAAAAGTGCAAAAAATCAAAACGACAAAAAGCAATAACCTGATCTAAAAATTACTACTAAGATGGATCAAACAATCAGACTTGTTGAAAAAAGTAACACAAAAAAAAACATTCATGATTGTCAAGATTAAGACAGAACGTATTAAATCGAATACCAAATCTAACTGATATGTTGTGTGTCTAGTGCATAGCCAACCAACGGCCATTTATATCCGACATAATTCATAACATTCTGACATACTGGACTATCTTCGATTAGAGTTCTCTCATTAAAACTCAGTTCTTTTTTCCATTTATCCACTTCTTGTGAAATATTTCGATTTGTGAGCATGAAGTTTTTAAATAATTTTGACTCTGTTTGCGTTAATTCTTGAATTACACTTCTGATTTTTGGCGTTGTTTTGATGTTCAAAAACAATTGAAACAAATGGTTCACTTTTTTCAGAGGGTTTTGAGCAAATTCTTCATACACGAATTCGTAATAACGTGTGAACAAGTAAACGTCCTTTTCTGAGATTCGTTGAATGAATTCCAAATTACTCGCTGGCCATTCACAGACCCAACGCGGGCCCGCGTTTCGTTTCAAACGAAGTCGCGAATTATGAACTGCTCTCGGATCCCGAAGTAAGTGAACAAACTTCAGGTCGGCCACTTCTTCGGTTGTCGGCCAAAGTGATTCCAAACTATGAATTCGAATAGTTTTCAGCACCAAATAAGTTGAATTTTTGCATCTCGATTCTTCAAGTTCGATTAAAGAATTGTATTTCAAGTATGCATCCCAATTATGTTGAAACAAAGATTGATGAAGCATATCCGAATATTCTTTGGTCAAACGTTGTCGCTTCAAACTTTCGACGAAAGTTCTGTTGAAAATAGTTTCATTCAATTTGCACTCCAAAATTTTCTTAGTCCATTCTTTTTGAATTTTGAAGAAATCTTTTTTCTTCAATGTGGCATAAGTAACAGGCCCGTTATCTTCCATAAACCGCTGGATTAGTCTGTAAGGCTCGTAAATATAAAAACTATTTTCGATCGAACTTAAAATTTTCCCCAAAAGTGTAGAACCCGATCGCATGTAAGATAAAATTATTATCTTAGTTTGCCCTGAAGTTTTTTCAAGCTCGCCGTGGTCATGAAATTTTTCAGCCTCGACTATGTCATATTCGTTGAAAGAACCCAAGCTAAACAGTTGTCGCTTTGGTGGTTCGACTTGGGTAAATTTCTGGAAGTTGGATTCAGGATTTGAACTTGATCTGAGGTAAACGAAATAGCCAGTAATGAAGAAACAAATAGAAATATAAAATCGGAAATAAAAGTTTCTTCTTCTGTTCCGCGACAACATTTTTCAATGTTGTTTGTAATAATTATTTATTCAAAAAATAAAATTAACTTTATACAACCAAAATTGTGACTCCAAATTATTTTTTCAAATGAATTTCCAAACAGAAAGCTGTGAATTAAAACCAATAAGTTCTGTTTTTTTTAATCAGAAGTTTCTACTTATTAAGCAATACAAGTATACTTTTATTTGAACGCAGTTTCGCAATTTGACAGAAATAAAATGAACTAAACCTTCATTTGAACTTGGTTAGGTAACTACGACTTTGACATGTAATCACATTCACAAACAAAATTGCGACAGTTTAAAACAACTAAACAATTTGATCATAATCCAAACTTCGTCTAAATGTGGTCTAAATATTGTTTATTGTTTACCTTAGGTGGAACAAAACAAAAATTATCCAACTTGTATTGTTTCGTGGCTAACTTTCATTGAATGGCAAATCAGATTGAAAGCGATGAAAACAACACGAAAGAATCATAAAAGTTCAATGAAAGTATAAACAATATGAAAGTATATTTTCCATATACTTTTTTGACATGAAAAATTAAGCTCCCCTAATGATAAAATAAATTTCTATTTGACTAGAAAACGTTAAATTTGATCAAACAAAATTATCGAGTTTGTTATTTTTAGCGAGTTCAACTTTTAAAAAAGTTTTTTTTTTGCATTGACAATGTGTAATTTTTTTAAATTTCAGAAACATTTAAAAACACAAAAAATGTGTTTTTGTTTCTTTTGTTTTTAACAGCGTGTTTTTCCTTAGTAACTATAAAACTATTAAGCATATTGTTTGTTTTTTTTCTGGCAAAACTGCTTTGGAGGAGAAATAGCTTAAGTGTTGACAGGATACTAATTAATAATTAATTTATTAGCCTTGTAACAGATGTTTTTAGCTTGAATCAACCTTCATTTCAGAACTTGAGGAACTGATTGTAAAGAAAAAACTCCAGCTTGATTTGTCAGAATAGGCAATTTTTCATAGTTTTATAATTAGTTCTGATATTTATTGAGAAAACATTTCATTTTCAAGTGTTATCATAAATAGTGGGCTATGTAAAAGTGTATAAAAATTTTCCCCTCGTCGGGGGTTTTAACCCCCTGATCGGCAAACGGGCCCTTTTTGATACTAAATTACATCTTCATCTACCGCTTAGGCACAAAAACATTTTGAAGGTGCCTCTGGCGCAAATGTTTCCTAATTTTGAGGCCGGAGAGCACTCCGAGAAAAGGCGCTAATATATGAGTTCTGGTAAACAGTTTGGTCCCCTCGAATAATCAACCTTTTTGCCCTATTGTTACAGGGGTGGGTCTAGGATTTTCTCCAGGTGGTGGACCCGGATTTTCAAAAAACTTTGGAAATTTTGACGACCTTTTTTTAGGTCGACCAAATTGATTTTCCGAGCTCTCCTAAGCACTAAAAAGCCGCAGGCAAATTTTTGAATAAAGCCATTTTCGTGCACTTTTTGGAAAGTTTTGACAAAAAAAGCGTTTTTTTTTGGCGCGCGCTCCCCCTCAAAGTTAGTATATATTGGCGCCAAAGGCGCCCTTAGAAAAATTTTAGGATCAGTCGGCCAAAAATTGATTTCCTAAAAAGTACCAAAGGGAGGACCCTTTGGGTCGGCAGGGGTCAAACCCCTGAGAAAGAAAGGGCGTCCTCCCCCCCCCCCTAAATCCACCCCTGTATTATTCGTTTCTGTATTTTTCTTTTTTTGCAAGCTTGATGTAATTTTTGACTTATTATGCATAGTTTTTGCTTTATTTGCATTCAATTTGAAAAAAAAATGTATCCAAATATTTGCGTTATGTCATGTTATCAATTTGATCCTAATATTTATATTCAGATTATTTTGGATAGTGAAACAGTTGATGTCGATAGTATACCACTACCATCCATTTTGATGTCTTGTTTTTTCCCTCGGAGACGTCTAAAAAACATATTTTTGACCAAGGTTGGAAACAACCTATTAAAATTATTTGAAAGAAAAACAATTTTTTGCTCAGAATCTGAATCAAAGCGAGGTCAAACTGTGCACGGGAAAGACGCACGTTTTGGTGTCTATAGGTCACTGAAATCCTGAGAAAAGTCTTTAACCTGTGGATGTAGGTGGATTCCGCAAAAAGTAAGCCGACTCCGCAAAGGTAAAATGAATGCGCAAAATTTGTAAGCAGAATCAGCAATTGTTAGTTGATTCCGCAAATTGTAAATATTTTCCCCATTTTTTTTAAACCAGAACTTTCGCGAGAATTTAAAAGCTAGAGCTAGAATTAGTAGAGCAAATGCGGACTATAAAAGCAAAGACTGAACCCAGAAACAAATCTTAAATCATTGAACAAGACTGCTCGTATCAGGGCGAAGCCCTGAATGTTCCGACTGCCTTTTAAGGTCTATGGAGCATTAATAACATGAAAAATTTTAATGTAATAGAAAAAATAAAATAAAAAATTTTGAAAAAATTTGAGATTTTATGTAAAAACATCCCCCCACATGTCATATTAAGTACAAAGTGATAGATTTTGCGCCTATTAACAAATCAATTATGGCATAAAAGCATCCTTGAACCTGTTTGGAACAATTTCTAAGACGGATTAAATCTCGCTTACGCGTTAATAGCGCAAAATTTATCGCGCGTTAATTGTCCCAAATTGGCTAAAATGGCAGTCTTTAAACCCCCATAACTTTATGAAAAATGATCACAGGAAAAATATCTTTTCAAATTCAAGCTCAGGACAACAATAGCTTTCGAATGATATAAAAAATTCCGTCAAAAATGGCTAGTTAAAAAGTCGAAATTTGTCTGAAGAAAAAAAACCCACCCCGAGCACAAATATTCCGTTTTTTTTCGTATCGAAAGTCGGAACAATAACTAAAACTGTGGGTGTACCCTTTAGTAGTTGGAATGAATTTCCCCAGCAAGCTGTTTTTGTGATCATTATTTGGAACCACATCACAACACATCAATGATATATTTAAACAAATTCTGAGAATTGGTGGTTTCTGGTTCAACAATGCATAAATAAAAATTTATTTGGGATTATACATGTAACTTTAAAACTAGTTGTTTAGGTCATCAGTATTTGAAATGCGGGGATGAGAGTAACTTCAAATCATGGGGGAATGTACTTCAGTGCTTTCAGTGTTAGAGATTGGAAAGATTGAGAAGAAACGGAGACTTTGACTGTTGATTTGAAATTGTTATCAGGATTTGAGATCAAACAGTAACGTGAGAGAGGTAAGTGAGATTGAATTGTTGCAGTAATTGACATTGATCTCGCTGGTGACCCACAAGCTTAATTAAAATTTTAATTTATTCAGAGGCGTAACTATTTGTTTGAAGAAAAAATGCGGATTCCGGTAAAATTTCGCGGATTCCATTTACAGTTGCGAACTCCACATTAAAGCTTTTTTTCTTAACATATATTAGTACTTGTGTGTGGGTTCCACAAACTGCTCCGAATCTAACAAAATTTGTTGTTAATTCTGGAAAAGTGGCTGCTTCTGTAGCAACTTTGAGCAACACAACAATTAACATCCACAACAACAACTAATAACAAAGAACTTTACTAAAAATGTTGCGGATTCCTCTGCAAATCTGTTTTTTTTGTCTGTTTCGGAATCCGTTTACAATTCACAAAATGCAGAGTTTGGCCTCGTAATGATAACGGCTAATAAGTCTGCAAAACTTGTTTCCATACTCCGGTTAGCCTCTAGAACTTTCTGTATTATTTTTGATTGTTACATAACATATTTTCAGGGTAATTACAAAAAGAGTTATTGTTAGATCAGCTATTTTAGCTGAACATCTTTTGAAGTCTCTCATTTATACTGCCTTTTTTACGGTCTTATCAACACTTTTCCATAAGTTTTTATCATGACTGGTGCAATATAGGCGTCTAATATAAAGGAGTGAATCAATTTTAATCTTTTCCGATTAGGAAACCTATTTTCAATCTCTCTTCTATTGCAAAAAAAACATGTTCGAGATTTTCAAAATATTTTATGAAGTTTAATTCTTTTTCCATTCATTCGTTGTAGATGCGAAAACGTTTTGTGAATGTTGAATTTATAGCCCACATTTCTCATCAGCTGCCTACAGTTTTCATTTCGTTCGATTTCCATTCTGTCAAAGTAGTTCAGTTCTCTTTTCCATTTGTAAGCAACAAACAAAATATTTCTGCTTGACACGCCGTAATCATTCTTGCTTGATTGGTTCAAACTGAAAACTCCTCTTCGAGGACTTTTGGTTAGACCCTCAATTAATGAATTGAGATCGAAATCCTCGCGAACTCTCAGAAATTTCCTGAGATCAGTTTCCACTTTTCGTTTCAAAAATCCTTTTTTTTTTCAATTTAAATAATTGTATGACTGGCATTTTTGTGATGGCGACACAAAAAAATTTTCAAGTAATTTTGAAAATTTGGCCCAAATTTTTTTTGTTTTTTTTCAACCGCAAATCGAATTTCGTACGCAAACAAACATTTTTCGCAATTTTTTTTGCATGCAAAATTTAATATTTTGTGTGCATAACGTAGTCCTGGATACGATAAAATTGGTTTTTATTTTCTTTTCACCTAAAAATTTTTTCAAAAACGCTGAAAATTCCTATTTCTTTTGTATGGAGTAGTGTTAATATATGTCTTGATCAATGTTTGATAAATTGAAAATTCAAAAATTTAAAATAGACATCATTAAAAAATTTTGCCAAAAAATAAAAGTTTGTTACTTTTGTTATATCAATTGTGAAAGACAGCAAAAGTCAGGTCGTTTTCTATGCATTGTAAATGCAAGACCGTCCAACCTTATCAACACTTCTCCATAAGTTTTTATTATGCCCGGGTTGACCAAAACTTCTTATCATACAATTTCCATATATGAGAAACTTCTTGTCATACAATTTCATACAATTCCATACGTACAGAAAATTGTATGAAAACACTATGATAAGCTTTTTTCCATATATGAAAATTGTATGATAGGTGTTTTCCCATAAACCAAAAATTTTGATTTTTTCTTTCTAAAATTAGTTTCTGAAAAATTTTCGGTTGTAGTTGCAACCCAACACAAGTGACAAAGACCTTGGTTATTCAAAAGACCAAAGGTTGGACGGTCTTGCATTTACAATGCATAGAAAACGACCTGCATTTGGCTTTCTTTCACAATTGATATAACAAAAGTAACAAATTTTTATTTTTTGGCAAAATTTTTTAATGATGATTATATTAAATTTTTGAATTTTCAAATTATCTGACATTGATCAAGGCGTACATTAACACCCCATACAAAAGAAAGAGGAATTTTCAGCGTTTTTGAAAAAAAAAATAAGTGAAAAGAAAATAAAAGCCAATTTTATCGTATCCAGGACTACGTTATGCACACAAAATATTAAATTTTGCATGCAAAATTTTTTTTTCGAAAAATGTTTGTTTGCGTACGAAAATCGATTTGCGGTTGAAAGAAACAAGTTCTCTTTTCCATTTGTAAGCAACAAACAAAATATTTCTGCTTGACACGCCGTAATCATTCTTGCTTGATTGGTTCAAACTGAAAACTCCTCTTCGAGGACTTTTGGTTAGACCCTCAATTAATGAATTGAGATCGAAATCCTCGCGAACTCTCAGAAATTTCCTGAGATCAGTTTCCACTTTTCGTTTCAAAAATCGTTTTTTTTTTCAATTTAAATAATTGTATGACTGGCATTTTTGTGATGGCGACACAAAAAAATTTTCAAGTAATTTTGAAAATTTGGCCCAAATTTTTTTTTTTGTTTTTTTTTCAACCGCAAATCGAATTTCGTACGCAAACAAACATTTTTCGCAATTTTTTTTGCATGCAAAATTTAATATTTTGTGTGCATAACGTAGTCCTGGATACGATAAAATTGGTTTTTATTTTCTTTTCACCTAAAATTTTTTTCAAAAACGCTGAAAATTCTTATTTCTTTTGTATGGAGTAGTGTTAATATATGTCTTGATCAATGTTTGATAAATTGAAAATTCAAAAATTTAAAATAGACATCATTAAAAAATTTTGCCAAAAAATAAAAGTTTGTTACTTTTGTTATATCAATTGTGAAAGACAGCAAAAGTCAGGTCGTTTTCTATGCATTGTAAATGCAAGACCGTCCAACCTTATCAACACTTCTCCATAACTTTTTATTATGCCCGGGTTGACCAAAACTTCTTATCATAGAATTTCCATATATGAGAAACTTCTTGTCATACAATTTCATACAATTCCATACGTACAGAAAATTGTATGAAAACTCTATGATAAGCATTTTTCCATATATGAAAATTGTATGATAGGTGTTTTCCCATAAACCAAAAATTTTGATTTTTTCTTTCTAAAATTAGTTTCTGAAAAATTTTCGGTTGTAGTTGCAACCCAACACAAGTGACAAAGACCTTGGTTATTCAAAAGACCAAAGGTTGGACGGTCTTGCATTTACAATGCATAGAAAACGACCTGCATTTGGCTGTCTTTCACAATTGATATAACAAAAGTAACAAACTTTTATTTTTTGGCAAAATTTTTTAATGATGATTATATTAAATTTTTGAATTTTCAAATTATCTGACATTGATCAAGGCGTACATTAACACCCCATACAAAAGAAAGAGGAATTTTCAGCGTTTTTGAAAAAAAAAATAAGTGAAAAGAAAATAAAAGCCAATTTTATCGTATCCAGGACTACGTTATGCACACAAAATATTAAATTTTGCATGCAAAATTTTTTTTTCGAAAAATGTTTGTTTGCGTACGAAAATTGATTTACGGTTGAAAGAAACAAGTTCTTTTTTCCATTTGTAAGCAACAAACAAAATATTTCTGCTTGACACGCCGTAATCATTCTTGCTTGATTGGTTCAAACTGAAAACTCCTCTTCGAGGACTTTTGGTTAGACCCTCAATTAATGAATTGAGATCGAAATCCTCGCGAACTCTCAGAAATTTCCTGAGATCAGTTTCCACTTTTCGTTTCAAAAATCGTTTTTTTTTTCCAATTTAAATAATTGTATGACTGGCATTTTTGTGATGGCGACACAAAAAAATTTTCAAGTAATTTTGAAAATTTGGCCCAAATTTTTTTTTTGTTTTTTTTTCAACCGCAAATCGAATTTCGTACGCAAACAAACATTTTTCGCAATTTTTTTTTCATGCAAAATTTAATATTTTGTGTGCATAACGTAGTCCTGGATACGATAAAATTGGTTTTTATTTTCTTTTCACCTAAAATTTTTTTCAAAAACGCTGAAAATTCTTATTTCTTTTGTATGGAGTAGTGTTAATATATGTCTTGATCAATGTTTGATAAATTGAAAATTCAAAAATTTAAAATAGACATCATTAAAAAATTTTGCCAAAAAATAAAAATTTGTTACTTTTGTTATATCAATTGTGAAAGACAGCAAAAGTCAGGTCGTTTTCTATGCATTGTAAATGCAAGACCGTCCAACCTTATCAACACTTCTCCATAAGTTTTTATTATGCCCGGGTTGACCAAAACTTCTTATCATACAATTTCCATATATGAGAAACTTCTTGTCATACAATTTCGTACAATTCCATACGTACAGAAAATTGTATGAAAACTCTATGATAAGCATTTTTCCATATATGAAAATTGTATGATAGGTGTTTTCCCATAAACCAAAAATTTTGATTTTTCCTTTCTAAAATTAGTTTCTGAAAAATTTTCGGTTGTAGTTGCAACCCAACACAAAGGACAAAGACCTTGGTTATTCAAAAGACCAAAGGTTGGACGGTCTTGCATTTACAATGCATAGAAAACGACCTGCATTTGGCTGTCTTTCACAATTGATATAACAAAAGTAACAAACTTTTATTTTTTGGCAAAATTTTTTAATGATGATTATATTAAATTTTTGAATTTTCAAATTATCTGACATTGATCAAGGCGTACATTAACACCCCATACAAAAGAAAGAGGAATTTTCAGCGTTTTTGAAAAAAAAAATAAGTGAAAAGAAAATAAAAGCCAATTTTATCGTATCCAGGACTACGTTATGCACACAAAATTTTAAATTTTGCATGCAAAATTTTTTTTTCGAAAAATGTTTGTTTGCGTACGAAAATCGATTTGCGGTTGAAAAAAACAAGTTCTCTTTTCCATTTGTAAGCAACAAACAAAATATTTCTGCTTGACACGCCGTAATCATTCTTGCTTGATTGGTTCAAACTGAAAACTCCTCTTCGAGGACTTTTGGTTAGACCCTCAATTAATGAATTGAGATCGAAATCCTCGCGAACTCTCAGAAATTTTCTGAGATCAGTTTCCACTTTTCGTTTCAAAAAACCTCTTCTTTTTCAAATTAATCACTGCCATAAGAAACCTCACCATCTTTCAAGGCCTTTTTCTTTATTTCACGTCAATCAACCCCAAAAAATGCTACAATTTATTTGCACGGCAGTTTAATCATTTTTTCTTGATTTTCAAGAGATTTATCGGAAAATTATTGCCTGGTTTTTGGAAAAATTTATTAAAAATCTAATTTTTTTTTTCAAAGATCATTCATTTTAAAGGTTGATTTATTTGCAGCCATTTAATTTGAAACCATTTATTTGTCAGCTTCTTGTTATTTTTGGCATACAAGCACAATGCTGATTTGAGACTGAATTTGTCACAAAGTGTTTATAAAAGATGGGGTGAAATTTTAGTGAAATTTTTTGTTACGGGGAGGTTGAATAGGGCGTGTAAAATTCGGGTGGTGAAATAAACTGGAGTTATAGAGAATGATACCCATTGGATCTACTTAATTATCTCCCCCTATAGTATCTACCTACTTTAAATCCCCCACCCCCCATATATAAATACAGTAAATTCTAATTTTGCTGCACTCTGATTGGTCAAAACCTCGAAATTCGACTGTTTTAATCTACTTACCAATCCCCCCCCCCCATTTTCTTACGTGCCTTTGAAAAACTATGAAAAACCATAAAAGCAAAGTTTTGAGTCGAAAAAAAGTGGAAAATAGGCTGTTTTCCTTAACATAATATTCATGTAAGGAACAGGATTCTGAGCAAACTTTTCAAAGATGAATTCGAAATAATGCTGTGAAAAGGAAGGGTCTCGTTTGAATAAATTTCGACAAAACTGTAAATTTTCAATCGGTATTCTGCAAGTCTCACTTGGGGTTAAAACTTGAAGGTTGGAGAGACCATTGTGGGAATTTTTCCTTGCTCTGGGATCCCGTAATAAGTGAATTATTTTAATATTCGAATAATTTTTCACCCAACTCCAAAACTGTTCAAATTTGCCAACGCGAATCAATTTAAGGATCAAAAACTTGGATTCGAGGCATTTGGTTTGCTCGTTTTTGACAACTGCTTCCACTCGATCTAAATCATTAACCCACGGGTTCGTGATTCCCGAAGACAAAAAGTTTGCTTTCACGAACTTTCTGTTCTCTTCTGATCTCAAAATGGGTTCAATAAAAGTTCGGTTAAAAATCGTTTCATTCAAATTGCAATTGAGTAGTTTCTCCGTCCATTCTTTTTGAATCGCTTCTAACTCTTGTTCGCCATTGACACTTACAAATTTTAGGGCATTTTGAATCAATCTGAAAGGTTCGAAAAGGTAGTAGGAAGAAGGCATCTCGCTCAAAATTTTCCCGATTAAACTTGAACCCGACCTAGACTTTTCCGTTTCCACAGGCAAGTATATTTTGGTGAGAAGCACACATAATCTCTATGTTTATTTAGTAGAAAAGCTGAATAAATTGGGAAAACAATTGTGAATGATTTCGTAAACTATTGGGTCAACCAATCATGCCAAACTTCGCGTAATTGAAATTCTCGTTAAAACCTTTTAATTGATTATAATAAAAAACTGATCGGTTCATTTAAATCGGTCCAAGGCTGGTTCATTTAAAAATGTAGCTTAAGTTTTCAACACCGAATCTTTTGTGTGACCACGGTTCGAACTGATTTGCTCTGCTAAAAACGGCCCTTTTCCCCAAATGCTATTTGTGTTGAGTAGTTTTTCTGTTCACATTGTCCGATTGTTAGATTTTCTTTGTAAAAACCCTCGTTACACCATAAATTGATGCTGGGGGGGGTAATTTTAATGCCCACAAACAAACTGATACGAGTTACGAGCTTGGCAGTACCCGCAGCTACGAACTGCTTTGGAACCTGATCTAAACTACATTTTATGATTGGATAAATTAGATATTTTACCACTGTAAAGTATTTAATATTAACCAATCATGATCCATCTAACTAACAACCCACTTATTTGTAAGTGCTGAAATTACTTGTAATTTCAGCACCAGAGAGATTTGAATTTAACTTAGAAATTAGTTGACTCTCCAAGAAGACTTCAGCAGCCGCAATAAACCAGTATACCCTAGATCTATTGAGCCTAGCAGAGACTAGTTAAACAACCTGAGACTAGATAGTATAAGAGTAAGATTAGGATCGGTATTAGACTAAGAAGTTGCACGAATCTATCCGGCCGAAAATAAGATAGCGTGACGAGCAGACGGTGTACCCTATCCGAAATTACTCTATGAGTTATACACATCGGTCCTAACTCATCTGGTGCGACCATAAGTCTCGAACAAGACCTTAATAGCTTAGAATTAACCAAAAATAGATTAGAATTTAGACAAAACATTTTTTAAAAAAATGTTACACGACGATAATTTAATCGAAATGTCTCTACGACTCAATAGATCAAAGCCAATATTCCGAACGATAAGAGAACTACCCGGAATTGCAAGAAGACCTCGAACCAGAGACGACATACGACAACGTAGAAACTTACCATATAGTTATATGATAGTTCGACAAAAGCCAACACAAACTTTTGTATTTAGAATACTACTAGCAATGAATTTAGATTTTCATTTGCAAACATAAAAATCTTGAAGTCAATCTTCAAAATCATTTCAGGCGCTAAACAAAATTATTAATATACAATAACGATTGATAAAAAAATCTCAGATCGTTTTCCTAAATTCTGCAGTAATATACAAAATATGTTTGAAAAATATTTATTGAAAAATCAAAATAAAAATTAGTAGCATGACAATAAATGGTTAGTAATCATAAATCATCCTGTTGTTCCAGCTTCATCACCTAAACATAACAGCATTCATAAGCTCACTAATATCATAAAAACACTAAATCTTTTCTCTACATAAATTTAAATCATTTTAAACTTAAATTCACTTAAATTTAAAATCAGATCATCAAGGCTCATCCTTGGATCTTAAATCATTTTCTATTTAATTAAATTTAAAACTTGATCATCAAGGCCTATCCTTGGATCAAAAAGAACAATTTTGTTCTCCCCCACCCACTTAGCTAGTGTCTAACGACCTCAAACGTCGATTCACTATCCAACCCTTTCTAAAAACCCAGGACTAACAGAAATTTTTGAATAAAACTAATCATTCAAATTAGGATAAACAGTGAAGAACTTCGGTTATTCATCCTTCACTTGATCCCCCCTCTTACCAGACCCAGGATAAATCTTAGACTTAGTAAGTTTAAAATAGTGTCTAACGAACTACTCGCGTTCTAATTATACCTGAACCTTGTGGATCGATTTACTATTCTCCAACCCTGAACACAATCACTACCCTTAAGTAAGATTAAGTAAGTTAACTCCTTAGCTTATACTAGCCACGAGAAAGTAAAAAATCATTCTTCGGAATCGATATACTTTTCTCCCCAACCCTGAACAATTAAACCCAGGTTAGGCTAACCAAAAAATTGTAAGGACTAACAGTCTAAGAAAATAGAAATCATTTAACAACCTTTTGCATCCGTCATCCTAAACCTTATGTCATTTAAAAACCTAGGAAATAAACAAACAATCGTTTTACACAATTGTGAAATAGATAACAAAAAATACGATCTTGTAATCACACCTCATACACAAACAGTTGGATATATCAGAACAAAACGACAAACCTTAAAAAGAAAAATAATAACCAAACAAAGACAAATAACACGAAAAAGATTTTCCAAAAACCGAAACGCATTTTCAGAATCAGAAACCAGCAGTTTAGACGAACTTTATAAATTAAAAGAATCTATAGATAAAAATTGCCCCATTCACGATCAATTATATTTTTCCGACTCAGAAACAACTTCAAATTCATCAAAAAGAGGAAAAAGAAGAATAAAAAAACAATATAAACACAAACCAGTACACTTATACAATTGGAATCAACCAATTAGACACATCGATAGTTACATATTAACAGTCATCAAACGAAAAAATGAGCTCAACACACACCCAAGGTGAAGAAAGTCCAGATGATGATGATATCTTCCCCTTTATCGTAGATGCAACCACTGATAGAGGACAGCATATATTTTGCAAAAATTTACTCTTAAATTTGTTTGAACCCGGAATCAGTCCATGTAAAACAGAGTTCCCAGATGTAAAAATCAAAAGACAAATTATCGATCACTATTTGAAAGATATATGCAACTTAACACAACAATACGGAATCTACTCCATAGAATTCAGCTCACCAAACCAGAATCACAGCAAATATGTAATTCAAACAGACGACCTTGATTTAGAATTCTCAAAAGTATTCTCAGAATATATAAAAAGCATACAATATTATAACTCACAAAGAGCAAACTCCATATTCACCAATGAAGTTTTTGCAATAATATATAGTTATATCTCGATATTAGAAAACGAAATCCCAATCCCAAATGTCTCACCGACAGAAACATCTAAACATATAAGAGTACGACATGAAATCACACTACTCTCTAGTTTTTTAAATATAATTAAGGAAAATTTCACTAAAGATGATGTTTCACAACATACAAAACATGACTTACAAAAAATTTTGGCATGGTTTATAATAGATTATTTCACACATAATCTAGATTTAATTTCACAAGCAAGAAAAAATTTTAGACCTCAAAACTCAAACGATGATACTGCCATCACAGAACAGTCAGACTATGTTTGGGACCCCGAATGGTCTCATCCCGCATTCATAAATATCCCACAATCAATTGCAAGTCAAGCAATAAGTACAATATCTTATGTAAGAGATTATGTAAGAGTAATACCATTAACCATAGATGCAACACCATTAAACTATAATACATTTTTACCTGATATGCAAAATAATAGTTTAAACTCCACAGTCATACACAATGAAAACCTCAATGGAACTAGAAATCTCACCCAACAAGATATCCAGACACCATCACACTTCATAAATGAAGAAATCGTACACACAACAACTACACAACAAAGTATTTCACCGATACGTCCAAATTTAACAACACCAAGAAATACAAACCCTTCACAAACACAGGTAACCTTACAATCAACCGTTAAACCTTCGGTTGCCCCAAAATATTCACACATGGATTATCAGACATACAGACCCATGACAATACCGTCAAAAACACGTAAAACGTTCACTAGAAACAATTTTGCAGAACATAATTATAATTACACACATCCATCAAAAACAAATTATCCCCCACGAAAAAATTTTAATAATTACACAAGATCTCGAAACTGGGATAACCCAATAGCACAAACTAATTCAGTAAATTTTCAGACAAATTTACATCCTTCACAGGATCGTAGTGAAAACTATCCATTTTTTCAACAAAATAAAAATAAAAAACAAACATCTTATCAAATGGATTACTTATCCTCAGATGATGATTTTTTACAACCAGATATATTGCACCATATAATCAAGAATATCGTGGACAAGGAGTACAGAAACCACATACAAATCATAGAATTTTTTCTCCACAACCGATAGATACACAAAATCAACAACCAATTCAGCAACAAAACCCAATTCATACACAATATTTTCAACCAATTCAGCAAAAAAACCCAATGATCACACACTCGTATCAACCGACGCAAATGCAAAATGAAATACCACTCCCATATTATCTTCAACAACACGAAATAACAAGAAATCAACTTTCAAATTTTTCTCAAATGCCAAATGCAGCAGAATCATTACAAATGACAATGAATCCATACCTTATGGGTGGATCATCAATAACATCAAATAAACCTTTAATGGTATTCACAGGAACAGACCCTGAATATTCTGTAGAAGACTATTTAAATGCAGTAACAGCAAATTTGATTTTAAATATAGGACCTGAACCAATTAATACGCCACTACATCAAAACTGGATACATCGACGCACAGCGTTGATACAAACAACTTTAGACGGCGCAGCCCAAAAATGGTTTTCAGTATTGCCTATAGAAATAAAATCAAATTGGAAGAGATTTACACAAGAATTTTCAAAAATGTTTGACTCCGAAAGAAACAAACAACAACAAAGAGTTTTATGCAATGAAATTCGCAGATTACCAAATGAAACCATCAAGCAATTAGCAGTACGCATCGAAACACTAGTTCGAAAAGCATATTCATTAAATACACATGACTATAAAAACACAAAGATGACAGAAATCTTAATGATGACCTTAACACCTCAATTAAGGAAAATAGCAATAAAAAAGAGAGCATCCCATCCCTCCTCAATTCGAGAACCCGATTTAGATTTTCGAAAACTAGTAGACAAGCTAGAACAAGCGGAAATCACCATGAAACTTGAAGAAACAGAAAATCTGAAATTACAATATGTTAATCGAATT